AACAAATGGTAAACACCACAGTGTACACTATTGAGTTATGGATGCACTTGGGAGGTTTGCTAAGCACTCAAGAAGCTAGAGTCGCTCGAGGCGATAGCTGAGAGCGACTCTTACGCTTCTTTCGTGCTTTGCAACTTCCCGCGTGCATCCATAACTCAATAGTGTACACTGTGGTGTTTACCATTTGTTAATTAGTTAATATTTCGCTTACTGCTAACTATCATTTCTGATACTGTTGTCTGTTTTTTGCATTGGATTTGATGCACAATTCCACTGGCTGTTACAAAACAATTGGTTAATGTAATGCACAAAAGAAGCATAAGAGTTGCCCAAGGCAATAGCCGAGGGAAACTAGCTTCTTGAGAGCTCTCCAAACTTCCCACGCGCTCCATAACTCGATAGTGCACAGCTAAAAGCACGAACCAATTGTTAATTTTTCTTTATTCTCATTAGTTGTCTGCTTGATATTGTATTGATAATGTAAGGAGAAATTCTGTCTTGGCCAATGATAAGAGTGAAAAGGTTACTGAAGACATCCAGGCATAATATACCACAGGGGCCCATTCAAACTGTTTGTGTAGCCGACTGTTGTTTTATAGTGAATGTACCAGATTTACTGTTTGCTTCACCTCTAGTGATATATTGCTGACTATGTACGGTTAGCTAAATGGATAGAGCGCTGGACTGTTGTGCGGGAGGTCAAGGGTTTGAGCCCTGGCCGGACCAACACTCAGGGTTTTAAAATAAATGAGAAGAATTTGCTGCGTTTCTATAACATCAAGAAATGGTTAGATATTCTAGTCTTCTCCGATAGGGATGAATAAATGGAGGTCCTGTCTCCTGCAGGGTTAGGGGTAGGAGACGTTAATTTCCCACGCACAAGATTACTGTGTGATGGATGTCCTCCCCTGGGGTGTGATGGGTAGGTTTGTTGGAGCTTAAACCTTGTAGGGGACCCATGTCCTATTGTTTCTACTCCTGTACTTGGTACAAATCTTCAAAAAAAAAAAAAAAAGTCACTGATAAATAAAGGTTGAATTACTTTACCTGTAGTGTATGGTCATCCTTTTGCCTCAAAAATGGTTTTTTTTAGTGGTTTTGAATGTCTGAGTTCATCGTTAATGTAATGCATAAAAGAAAGACAAGGGTGCAGAAAGCCTTGTTTTGAAAGGGTTCAAGTGCTCGAGTGATTTTCAGCCTCAAAATTGCATTGCTCAACTTTCAAACTTTGCAGCATTAAGGTCAAAAGATGCACAATTCTCTTCGTACCTTCCAATCGAAAATCCATCCAAACAGACCGGAGCTAGCCCTAGAAGAAAATCAAAATCCCACAGTATTTGAGCGTCTGAGATACATAGCAAGATCCTCATGTGCCAGCCAGAAACCATCATGCTGATTGCCCTTTTCTGATTGGACGACATTATTTTGAATTGGTCAATCACAAAAGGGCAACCGCATGACAGTTTCTGGCTGGCACATGAGAATCTTGCTATGCATTCCAGACGCTCAAATACTGTGGGATTTTGATTTTCTTCGAGGGCTAGCTCCAGTCAGTTTGGATGGATTTTCGATTGGAAGGTACAAGGAGAATCGTGCATCTTTTGACCTTAATGCTGCGAAGTTTGAAAGCGGAGTGATGTGACTTTTGGGGGGAAAATCGCTTGGGCACTTGAACCCTTTCAAAACAAGGCTTCCACCCTTGTCTTTCATTTATGAATTATATTAACGACGCACTCAGACTTATTCAAAACCACTCAAAAAAAGCATTTTTAAGGCAAAAGGACGACTATACACCACAGGTAAAGTAATTCAACGTTTATTTATCAATGATTTATGTACATAGTCAGCAATATATCACTATAGGTGGGGCAAACGGTAAATCTGGTACATTCCCTATAAAACAACGGTCAGCTACACAAACAGATTGTATGGGCCCCCTGGGAATATACCCAGGGTTAAAATACATCACATTAAAAAAAAAAAAAATTATCAAAGGGAAGATATCATGTGCACCCTCATAAATTAAGTATTTTATGTTTACCTTGGTCAGCTGCAAATGCTTGACTTTTTTCAATCACTGCTTTATTGTCTACATTGTATCGTGTGCCTTCTGGGAAAATGACTAACCACATCTACAGTAAAAATTTAAGCTTACATTGTTAACATTAAATCACAACTTGAAAAAAAAAATTATTGTTATTAACAAATACTGGCTGCTTACAAAGATCAATGCATGGATTTTATAAAGTTGCAAAAAGAGGTGACACCAGATGACACTGAATTGGGAAGAAATTTTGCAGGAATGAATATCATCTAACAGAAATAGTTTTATCAGTACTTATAGTTCACCACTAAATTTTCTCCAGTTCTTATTGGTTTAAATCGATCACGTGATACGATAGTGTTCATCCATGGAGAGACGCTATCAGCCCATAGTGCCCACCTGCAGAAAATACCTGGATGGATAGTGCCCATCTGCGGAAAATACCTGGATTGATAGTACTCATCCATGAAAAGTTTTGAATAGTTTGACGGCCGCGAAGTTAGGCAGATCGGAAAAACAGTGACTTTTCAATTCTGACAGGTATAACGTATTATTTAGCCAATGTACGGTTGCGAATTATTGACATTTGTGACAAGCTGTAGGCGGGGAAGAAAATCTAACAATAAGAACAATAAAAACAATGGAGTGTTTATGTCTCGGAATTATCGGTCTGATAGTTGCCCCTTGAAAATTTGATGTTGTTAAAACTAGCATATTTGTTTTAAGAAAATCAAATTTCCGCAGGGCAACTATCAGCTGATAGTTCCTCGACAGAAACACTCTATTGTTTAAATAATATACTCACAGGTAGATTTCGAGCCTTCATTTCTGTAAGTTTCCTGAAGGTAAAGAGTTAATCATATAATTTAATGTACGAATATTAAATGGTTAAATACAAAGTATATTTATCCATGCTCAACATACATGTGCATTAGGGCAGGAAGAAGGTAATATCAAGAGTTATAAAAACCTTGTAGCTTACAGTTCTTGTTGATGCTACGTCTGGAAAATTTCGAACTTGCGCTCGGCTGAAGTGACTCGAGGAGCCAATTGAGGTTTTGTGACTGAGCGAGTGAGTGAGTGAGGTTCGAAAAAGTTTTCCTGACTGTAGCGATGGTGCAGAAGCTTGAGTTAAGAGTCTAAGATCTGCAACGAAAACTTCAGGCTAGAGAATACGTTGAAAAATTTGCGAGCTAACAAGTTGTAGCGCTTAAATAGTTCTAAAAGGCATGCATAAATGATAAGCTCACACAAAAATTTGCAAGTAGAATCCTACAAACCTCACTTTCAGATTTAGGTCAAGTACAAAATATATCTTAAGAATTAGTGAGCTTTTTTTGCACGAGGATAAAAAATCATTACTGCATTCCAGGCTTAACTCCTAAGCTCACTTCAACCCTTTGACCCCTGAGAGTGATTAGCATCTAATTTCTCCTTACAATATCATGCTAAGTCACACATTAAGGTCAGGAGAATTAAAAGAAATGATCACCAACTAAAGAAGCTCTTGATTGTTAAACAAATTCTCCTTGTCAGCACCTAGGGAAATGCATAGAGAATGGTATGGAGAATAGGCATGTTGGTGTTAGAGTGTAAAGGGTGAAAACAGAGGTTAATGGTATATTAGTCAGCATAAGACAAAACCACCAAACAAGTGTTATATTGCTACTAACATTATGTTGCTAAGCTTATTGTAGCCTTCAACACGTGAATGCAAACCCACAGTTGTAGTGAGGAAATTCTGCTGCCAGCTGAAATTTCTTGTGGGATAGCTCAAAGGTGGCATAACCTCAAAAGTGCCTGTTGTGCCTTACTAAGCAATCACCAGCCAACAATAATTATTGAGCCAGCGATCGCCACTCTTTCATCTCATGAATTTTGCTGACAGCTGTTGGTGCTTAGCAACAACCCTGCAAACCTTATACCTGGCCACATAATCTTGGTCTTTGGCTCCACTGCGTTTAACGTATATACTTGAATGCTGTTAACAATAGAAGTATGATCAAGTTATAATTATTAGACAGTTGGGTTTGTGCATGCTCACTCATCCCAATTTCAAAAAGTAGTTAACCCTCTTACCTCCCAAACATCCCTCTATCTGCTAAACATTTCCTTGTAAAGTAGTTCCAATAATTTGGTATCAGACCAGGACAACATCCTACTGGTACGTTCGAGAATTCTCATTATTTTCCAGTTCGCTGGATGGTATATGGGTACGATAGGAAGAAATGACATAAAACTTTTAAATCATTTCTGAGAGTTAAAGGGTGAAAATTCTCTCTTTCATGAATTGCACGAGTATGAAGATTCAACTTGATGTTTAACAACTATTCGCCGCTAACCACCAACACTGAGGTGAATAGTTGTTTTAGTATACTGTATACTAAAACAGTGAGATGATATACACCACCAAAATTAATTTGAGTGACTTCTTTGCTTGTCATATGTGCAAACCGGGATGCCATTTTTTCCTGAGTTGCTCGGAGGTAAATAGCAAAGGATATTTGGAGTTTGACTAGCCAATCAGAGCGTGCCTTAGACGCTATCCACCATTTTAGTATTATACTAAATACACTTAGCACATGCAAATAGTTACCTGAGCAAAGTAAAAACCATATAGAGGTAAATATTTCAGCCCATTCTTTAGAACGTAGCGAAGTCTTCCCAATGACCCTTGCCTGATAGCAAGGAAATCAGTGATTATCCAGTCCACTGTGTAAAAACATAAGAAAATATAATGTCCACAGTTATCAAATTCTTTAAAATTATTTTAATGTAAATGTACTTCGAAGGAGAAGTAAACTACCTTGAGTAGGAAGCCAAGAAGGTCAAAATTATTCAATAGACCCTTCTCACGCAGTGCCATCTTGGATTCTGTGTCACACCAAATTGAGTCTGGACGGGCATTCTGTTTTGCATGTTTGGCAAATTTCTGTACATTGTTCAATTCACTAGGGCTGAGAGCGTAGCTTCTGTTACGTGGTCAAAATCTCTCAAGCATATTCCCTATTTTGATTTAACTTTCGTTGGGAAATGGCTCGAGAAAGATGGAAAGGTCCCAAAGAAAGTAATAACCTATGGTTACAGCAATTTCTGTGAAGGCTACATCTTTGATATCGAAGGTAAGTTTTAGTATTGATGAGTTCTTCAGGTTGTTGTTGATGCCTCAAGTCTGGATGAAGATGGAAATATTTAGTTTGAACAGTTGCATGATTCACACCAAGTGTACCATTTTTACAGATATTATATTGTTCTTATCTTTTATTTCTGCCTGGATTTGTTAATCAAAAACTTCCAACGAAGTAAAAAAGTAATGTAATGAAATGAAGCTTTAGAAACCATCACTCCCACCATGTCCACGTTGTCACACATCCGCATTCACATCTTCCCTTTCAGTGAGAACGCTAGACACGGAGTCGTCATGAGAGCTCAAAGCTACAGGTCACAGTGGAAAAATGATGAGCTGTGGAAGTTGCAGGTATTTATCTTACCATCTGATTGGAACCTCACTTTATGAACTAATAATACACAACATTAGAGAAAAATTTATGTGTTTTAGTTTCAGGCAGTTTTTAGTATTTTTCTGTTGTGTAGTTCAAGTTTGTTGTAATTCAAGTTTTATTTTCGGGGTTTCAATCAAGGTCTTGTATTTTATTGAAATGCTGACCAAAGAGCTTAAAAATAGTGTCTGATGTTAAAAATGCACATTGTGAAGCAGAGGTTGAGCTCCTTTAAAAATGTTTCAATAGGTTGAGATCTCAAGGACTGCTGAAGTCAGAATATCAAGTACCTCTTGCAACTGTGAGGCGGGAGCAGGGCTGTGCAACCATGCAATTGGGCTAGTGTACCTCCTTGAGCACTACCAAAAATTGGGCCTGAGAAGTGTACCTCTTGCAATGTCCAAGACAAGTTTGCCACAGACATGGCACGTGCCACAAAGAACAGCAGGAATAAATCCTCGGGAGGTGCAGGAGGTGCTGGTACAGCAGTTGAAACCAACAGCCAAAGATAGAACAGAAAAGAAAAAAATTCGGAGGGTAGATGGAGTATGGTCTACTCTTTATAACCCCATACCAGAGAAATTTGGAGACCTCCAAATTATAAATTCCATGAAATACATCTTAAATTTAAACAATTTGAGGATATGCAACTTAACTCTATTCTGCCAGACACTGACACTTTAGAATTTGTCAACAGCAAACTTGGCAAAGTGGCTGGTGGCTCTGTGTTATCTTACCAACAACAACAAAAATTGACAAATAACCCCAAAATTCATATGAATATTGATGGGCCAGAGAAGCCACCAGCATTCTATCTTATAGAGCTTGTTAGCCAATATGCATTTGTGCCTTCCCCAGAACAATTGCATTTTATGGGAGGAATTTGTGTTACTAAAGAGGAATCTAAATTGTATGAGAAGGAAACCCAAGAACAGGCTGACACACAGAAGTGGCATGACTTGAGGGCACAGAGGTTGTCCTCAAGTAAAATTCAAAGAGGTCTGTATGCAAAGAGCTGACTTTGAGTCACTAGCAGCGAGACAGCTGAAGAAAACCGTTCAGACAGAAGCCACGAGGCATAGAACAAATACAGAGGAAGATACAGCAGCTGCATATACTGACAGTGTGGAGTGTAATGTTTTCCCTGCCAGAATTGTCATTAACCTCTCCTACCCTCATTTGGCTTCCTCTCCAGATCGAAGAGTGTATGACCCATCAGGAGTCAATCCCTGGGGGCTGCTGGAAATCAAGTGCCCTCTTAAGGATTCCATCTTTGAGCTTAAATATCTCAAATGTGTAAATAGAGTCTACAGACTAAAAAAAAAACACACACACAGCTATTACTACCAGGTCATATGGGACAATTGCTGCTAACTGGTTGTCAATGGGTAGATTTTTATGTTTACTGTAAAACTGACTTTCATTGTGAAAGATTGAGGTTTGAAGCAGAATTTTGTTCAGAAATGAAAATGAAATTGGATCAGTATTATTTTGAATACCTTTTCCCTAAATTGTTAAAGGTGGTGGCATAGCCAGGCCTTGGAAGCAAAGTTGGAAAAATGAGTAGAACTAAGCCAACCCTACAATTTTTGGAAATCCTAGAAATGGGATGTACATGTATGCTGACTGGGCTTCTGCCAGCAATAGGTAATAGACTAGTGCTAATGTTAAGGAAGGAAATTAACATTCTCTTTCCAATTTCATCTCCCTGGGTAGGAGGAATGGAAATTGTCTGGAATCACACAAATTAAAAAACTTTCTTTGTTCAATTCAAATAAATCTGTTTTGGTTTATTAAGCACATAATTGTAAAGAGCTTGGTTAACTTAGTTGAGGTGTCACAAATCTTATGATTGTAGCGTGGTTTGCTAAACAAAACCAGTGGGAAATTGAAGTTTCAACATAGTGGCCCTCTAAAATTTGTCGGAAGGCAGCATATAGTCCAAATTTGGTTTACTGAACCAGCCAAAGAGAGAGGTAAAACTCTTTAAAAAATTTGGTACTCTTTTATTTGTCTGATTGCCCTCTCAACATGGATACAGAGGGGGGCAATCTGCTGGGTATCTGTCACTTCTTTAGCAGTGAATTGTAAGGACTTTGTTCTTGACAAGAATGGTGGGATCGTCGACTCAGCTTTTTTAGTTTCCAATAAATCCTGAATTAGGAAGCCCTTGTCTGCCATTACCTGGTCTCCTTCTTCAACAAGCAACAGAAATCCACTGCGCCTTGTTATTTCTTTGTCCGATATACTTCCTTGATATAGGGAACTTACGAATGTTACTGCACCATGTGGAGCTATACCAACTAAGCATTTAAATGTTTTGAGTGACTTGTAGGTAGAATAAGTTTCTGAGTTTAAGCCCTTGGAGCTAGGCCTTTGGACTTTAATTTCAGTGTAGTCAAGGATTACCCTTGTTTTAGGGCATGTAGTTTTAAAGCATTGAGGCATGCTACTTTCAATCTGAGAACTTGTAGGCCAAATTGGCACTTGGCCAAGCATTGTGTACAGAAAATTTGCCCAAGTTATAATCACTCTACTGACAGTACTTTTGCTAATATTGAATCTCATTCCTAGGTCTGTCTCGAGCAAACCTAATCTCATTCTGATCAAAAATAAAAACAGTTGGTCATAGAGTAACAATGCAAAATTACCACTGCTACACCTTCGCTGGTAGTTTTCTTTACCTCTGCCTTGTTGAATCTGGGACCATTTTATCATGGTTTTTGCATACAGCTCAACCCATTTGTAAAAGCTATCAAATTGTTCTTCCAATGTAAAGCCTGTGTAAAATGTCAGCAATTCAGGATCCTTCAAAATGTTTTCCCCTCCAAACTTGGACTCCTGAAGATCTTTGACTTGTTGCTCTAGATCTTTGATTCTCGCTTTAAGTATTTCAATTTGTTCCTCAGGGCTCAGTTCGTCAGGCTGACTGTTTTCGTTTTCCGGTCCATCCATAGCCATTACTTCCATCGCCTTAGCACAAGTGTTGGTTTCCTGTCCTGCTGACTCAGTCTCCTCTTCTTCCATCTCGACATCTTGCTGAATTAAATTAACAAAGAATTGACGTTGCTCCTCCTGTGCTTGCTGTTCAGCAATAATTTTTGACTCTTGCAATTTGTCTGGTCGGCACTCCTTACCCTCCTTGGTCCATGCAAACTGCAATGGCACAGCTCCACATTTTAGGTGTGTAAGCCCAGTTATAGTCTTAGACATGTCTTCTGGCTTGAAGTGAGCCGAGCACACAAGAGTAGAACCTTTCTTGATCTGGGAAATTAGTTTAAGACCGCAAATTATAATGCAAAAAAACAAGGGCCGGAGAATCTCATTTAATACATATTACAAAATCCGAGTTAATAAAAACAAACAAAACATTACCATGTGCGTTTGACTGCTTGAGCCAAAAGTAAAATGAAAAATATAGAGTAAAGGAGGAGTAAATTCCTTAAATGACTCTAGTGTTCTGGATACGAAAAAAGTAGGCATTTTACAAAACATGTAGAGGCTGTGTTTTCAATCGAAAGCAAAAAGTCGGTCGCTAGTAACACATGCGTCTGACGACTCACCGGTCATGGCTCGATTCTTACCTCAAAATCTAGTCCTTCATCTTGCTTTATAGCGGCAATCCATTTCAATCTCAATAAAGAATTTGAAGGAAAGTTGAAAAAAGATAAATTCTTACCACTCTGATTTCTCTTGTTGTTCGTACAGAAGTTAACAGAGCAATGATCGTGGGGCATGCTTACTTGTCATATATCCCTACTGTAACACTAGTGTAACACACCCCCAAAGTTTATGCATGTCTAGCCTCGATTTGGTGCGGTACGGAATCCAAGATGGCACTGCGTGAGAAAGGTGTATGGCAGGGCTGGACACTAACTTTTCAACTTATTAGCCAAGTGGCTGGTGACAACTTAGATGTTGCGACAATTTCAGTTTGTTTACTAGCCAAACTGACTATTTGAAAGTGAAAACCACTAGCCAAAACTGAATTTCAACTAGTCTGTGGCTAGTTGGCTACCTTTAGTGCCGAGCCCTGTAATGGACTGTGATTTTGCAAAAAAAACAGGTCTTTTTCTCCTTAATTAAATCCTTCAGAATGATAAGCATTTAATTCTCCCTACAGCATCATCCCCAAATCATACATCAACGTCATGAGAATAAAGGAAATGATCACAAACTCAAGAAGTGCTTAATTGTTAGACAAATTCTCCTTGTTAATTAATAACACGAGGAATTTAACGGGAACAGCTAGGAGAACTTGCATACAAAGGTTAAGAGTATAAACAGCAAAGCCAATTTAGTCATAATTTGGATACATCAACAAAGTTGAAATGGTAAATTGGCCACCGTAACCATAGCCATCGTCAGGTGAGACATGGAAATACAAGTTTTTAAGGATGATATCTCACATGTTGTTCAAGCTTGGACTTTTGATAGACAACTTTTCATTGCAAGGGCTGGACAACTCTAAGTCAATTAAATTACATTTTGGTCACCAAGAGCCCTTGTTCTTAGTGATCAGAACTTGCCTCATAATCTGGGACTGTGGTTAAAAACATGACAATCATATAGAGCAATTTTGTAAAGCAGCAAAATGTAAGAGCTGTTGCTTCTTTAACTAACAGTACCTGAACTTTGATGATTACCTAACACAATCACATTTTCCTGCTTATTCCATGGAATTTGGTCACCATAAAGGATAACCTACAAATTAAGAAAATACAGAAGACAATTTTGTTAATGAATGGAGGATGGAGGACAAGCACATAATTGGGGATACTATATTTACATCACATGTTTAGATACTTTCAGCCTTAGTATACAGACTACTGTTGTAAAGCACCACGGGCTATTTATTGGAGTTGTGCGCTATAGAAATACTCTTTATTATTATTATTACAAAAAATGACTAAGAATTGGTTCAAGTTGACCATTAAGCCACACAGAAAATTCAAAAAAATGTGGTAGAAATGAAAGTTGAAAAAAGGAGACTTCATTTGACTATTTTTTTGCACAAATATTATCTTTGGGAAATTGTATACTTTAGAGTTAAAGATAAAGTTGAAAGTGCACACTGAATTGAAGTAAAGAATACAATACAATACAATACAATACTTTATTCAAGAGAAAGGAAAATAAAAATTGTAAAAGTATCTCTCGAAAGGGGATATTCTAGAGGTTAACCCTATATAAAAGATTCCCCGAATAAAAAGATCAAAACATTATATACAGATAATTAAAAACTGTTTACCATCATCAGAAAACTGAAATCACCCTGGCAATTCAAGTTTAGTGGGAAATTCTAATCAGCATTTTGACTCAAAAAATAACCATGTCCCAACCAAATACATCCTAATCTCTTCTCTGTGACTTTGCTATCTCTTTCTACAAGTTTCCTGGCTCAAGTTCACTGCATCCATCTTAATAGCAAAAGTACTTAATATACAACAATATAAAAGTTTAAAAAGTGAGAATTTAAGTCACATGCACTTTCCACACCTGACATCCCCTCCCCCTCCCCCACCCTCTGCCTCTTTCATAGACCTGTGAAAAGAGTTTTAGGGAGGGGGAGGACAGGGAAGGGGGAGTTCTTAACAGCTATGGTGATCACCCGAAATCACAGCATTCATACTCTTGAAAGACATTTGAATGCTTTGGCTAACAAGTGGTCCCTCGTTTTGGGACTTGGCCACATTCTCTCCTCCCCAAAGGGTCCCACAGCCATTAAAAAGTATTCCCATAATTTTAAGAAGATGGAAAGTGTGGTACATAAGCGCTCTCTTTCTCCCGGGCCCTTAGCCTCCTCCCTCGTGCACTCTCAAAAAAGTAAATACTATTGAGGGAGAGTTGTTCGTGTTCATGGCAGACCGAGGAAAATACGCTGAGATGGAGGACAGGATTAAGGGAGCGATAAAAACTATCAGAAATTACATGTTTTCACAGTAAAACCGTTTTCACACACGCAGAAGACACCTAATTACGGTGTACCAACCCACGTGCTGTCCACTCCGTGATCACTTGAAAAGTCTCCTAACAACATTTATAACATTGCCTCACCTCAGCTCCCGTTAGAGTCTCAAAAAAGAAGCAGATGAGTGATTGGTAGGTGTCGTACATAAACTCATCTCCTCGTTCGTAGACGCGCCTAGGCAAGGGCAGGGAAGCGAGTCTCCATGTAAGCCAAGTTATTAAGTATTGTGGTGCAACACCAAAAACAACAACAGCTGTACCGACAAAGCGCAGGAACTGGATGTGACCCAGTGCAGTCAACATTTTCTGTAGAAATTGACGAATCTGCAGATTTTACGAAACCCTGACAAAAACATCAGTACAAGGAGTTTAGAACGTGTTTACCCCGACAGCCGTCAGGAGTACCAGGTTACCAAGCAAGAAGAGGTGGGCGGGGGTGTTGATATGAACCACCACATCTGGCCATAATTGATTTCTTTGCCACTTCCACTTCGATTCGAAGAAGGCAATAGAATGGTGCCAAGTCACTCTATGTGCTCCGCGGAGAGACCTTCAACTTATTTGAACCAAATAAACGATACCTTTAGCACGTGCGCTTTTTGACTCGAATTTCGCCTCTCTCCGTGAGTGCTAACAAACTTCGCTTTGTTAAACACCACGAAATTTATCTCCCCCCAATTTTCAATGTATCAATCGTGGGTGCACTGAAAAAAAGGCTAAACATTCGTTAACCATAAAATGTCAATCACATGGATATAAAATTAAACAGTATTAGGACCTGGATATACAGCTGGAACCAGTAGGTGTTCTCCTCGTATCCAGAGTACTGATCGTCATGCAGCGTGCCAAGCTACGATTTCACCTTTTGCTTGCCTTGTAAAAGGGTAGACACATATTGGCGGGCTTCTGCCCGAGAAGCCTCGTATTTGAAAAGCAAGATCAAATTTTCTTGATTTACGTGTTCCTTGGAATCTTAGTTCGTAGATTAATAAATGTCAGATGTCACGCCTAACAAAAATTTGTCCTGCTCCAAGGCAGGAAGATTGGTAAGGCTTGAAAAAATTTGGTAGAACAAAAAACTCAACGAACGTTCATTTACGGGATAAATTGTTTAGTAGGTGGGTTCCTTTTTGTCACTGGGGAGAACTTGACCAATATACGACCCACTTTCAAACTGAGAAGGGGGTATATGCAAGAACTGCTGACACAAGACAAGTCAAAAACACCATGTTTATTTTAAGAGTACGCATTCGGAAATTCTCTAGTAGGAGTGGCTCTCGGATATTCCAGCTAAAGTAAAAAATTCTATATGAAAGTTTTGTAACAACTCTTTTCGATCGAGTCTAAATCTGTTATTAATCAACAAACTTGTCGTCTCTAAAAAGACTCTACTTCACAGCAAAGTACTGTTACGAACCGTGTTTATTGAGTTGCTCAACCAAATGGTCTATTCTTTAGGGCTGTTGGCTGACATTCTTGTCGAACGGGGGAATCTAATAAATTATCCCTGTTGCCATATTCCTAAAGTAATACTCAAACTTTAACCTAAAAAACATCGCAAAATTCGAGGCAATTACTAACAGCTAACAAGTAAATTCACTACCGGGAGAGCTGAACATGAAAGTCTCATTCGAAATTCCTAATTGTCCAATCAGAGAACAGCACGAGGTGCTCCGTAAAATGTCGAGTCAGTTGATTCAAATTTCCCGACAACGTTGTATGCCAACCTAACGAGTTCACTCATAAGGTAAAATCTATGCGAGAGAGAAGCAATAAATCACGAAAACCTGACTTAATTACAACTGTGCATGCTCTATCTATCTCCTGTCTAATAGTCCACACAAGCTACAAGTTCAAGCCTTTTGAACGAAACCACCGCTTATCGCCTTTGCTTAACATCAGAAGAACTACTACTATCGGATCCAGACTCCTCGTCACTACTGCTCGATCCACTACTACTCTCTTCACTGCTTTCACTGTCACTGCTCTTGCTTTCTGAGCTACTTCCGCTTCCACTTTCGCTGCTGCTTTTCTTCCGGGATCGACTTTCTGCGTTTTTCGTTTTACTTGGCTTCGCCATGTCACTCTTCTGGGTTTTCCCTTGGACCACTCTAAAATGCCAAAAAAAAAAACCAAGTCTCAGCAGAGACGATCTCGTTTCACAGAGACGCTGATTTCAATGTTATTTGCAGCCGCTGTTTCGCCTTGTCACGGAAACAGGAAACAAGAACCGTTGCGTGACAAGGCCAAACAACAACAGTTGCAAATTTCTAAACATCATTACTAGTCCTTTCAACCATCAAAAATAAGATGTAAACACAGAGAAAGAGGGCGCACCCAACATCACGATTTTGCGACATCGGCCCAACGTGCTCGTGTAGGTGCTTCAACCAGGACAAATGATGTCTCGTAATTTTTTACGAACCTTCAGTTGAGCACCCAATCAGTTGAGCTACTTCTGTGGTTACATTGTATGGCGTCGTTAATGCAGACAAAAAGTATTTCAAAGTTTAAAACGCGCGAGTATATTTTTTATATCAGCTAGGAAAATTTGCTTCTTTTATAGTGCCAGTTCTTTTAGTCTGGCGCAATAGTCGAGCTGACCAAACAAGTAGCACTAACAACTTGAACTTCACGTAAATTGAAAAGCAGACCATCGAGTTAAAGGTATTAGACATAATAATATTTCATACATCAAATTTACCTTTTACGCGGAGGTTCCTGGCTGTTCATCGCCGCCGATTCGCGACTTCTTGCCTGAACAGAAGACGACCCGCGTTCCGTCACTTTGTCCTTCCTACGGACAGGCGAGGCACTGGGAGTTCTGCTACGCCTTTGTACAGGACTATCTCGGGTAGGAGATTTTCTTGGCGCAGGTCGATTTCTTGGCGGGGTTACACTTCTGGACTGTCTGCGCTTTCGCGTTTGCTCGGGCGGAGAGCGCCTGGGACTACGGCTTGGGCTCCTTGAAGGGCTTCTCCTTTGACGCTGATAAGAGCCTCCAGTACGAACTGGGCTTCTTGACCTACGCCTCCCGATAGGGCTGAGGCTTCTTCTGGGTTTTCGTGGGCTCGGGCTTCTAGAAGGTTGACGTCTACGGGGCTGGGCAGGTGAAGAACGACGAGGACTGCGACTGTCGCTTTTTCTTCGGCGCTGATTGGAGCCTCGTGCGGGTTGACTTCGAGGAGGTGAAACACTGGACATTCTGGTTGGTCTTGGGGGAGTTTCACTTCTAGGTGGTGGACGCCGCCGACGTTGTACAGCGGGGGAGGGTGAACGCCTTGGGCTTCGACTACGCCTCCTCACGGGTTTGGGGCTACCTGATCTATCTCTTTTCGATCTTCCTTCCGATCTACTTCTACTTCGGTTCCGTTTCATGGGCCTGGAACGAAGAGGACTCGAAGACAACTTTCTCCTTATAGGGGGTGGGCTCGGGGACGACCTCCTACGTGCGGATGGTGAGCTTGGAGATACCTTACGCGCCGGGGGTGGACTCGCAGGCGGCGGACTTGAGCTTCTGCTAGGTTTTCGTCGTCTTGGAGATGCTGCATTATCTGAAGACCGCCTAGATTGTTTCACGGGCGAAGGGCCAGGACTACGACGACGGGGTGACGAAGAAGACCTTTTCTTACGAGTTCTTTGTTCACTTAGATCAGGTGGTGATTTGTGCTTGGTCCGCACAGGTGACGCACGGCTGCTATGTGACGATCCGTCCTCGGACTCTGACCCAGATTCGGAGGAACTACTGGAAGAACTGTCTTCTGAACTGGACCGTTTCTCTTCGGCCTTACTGTTTGTCGTTTGTTTCACTTTCTTTTGTCTCTCGCTTGATACTTCTTTCTTCCTGGCAGCTACTTTTGGAGGAGGAGGAGGGGACCCACTGGGTGACCTCCCTCTTTGCCTACTCGCATCAGGAGATGAAGATGAGGATTGTCTGGTCTTCCGTCGGTTCTCTTTCCGAAGACCCTCATCGCGCTCTTGCACGCGGCTTCTTCGTACATCATCTACGAGCTTCCTATCGTCGGGAGAAGGAGACCGCCGTTTTCTAGTACTTCTATCTTCTCTTGATGAGCTACGTCGCCGATTTCTGTCCTCGGGAGTAATATCATGTCGCATCCGGGCACTTTCCCTGCTATCGCCATTTCTAGAGATGAAGTTTTCCCTCTGTTGTGGTCGACCTTTTTCTTCTCTCTCCCGAGAGTCTCCTTTCCTGGCTGTTGACCTTGACTGCTCAGGGATGGAACTCGACTTTCGACGCCTTCTGGCTGGCCTTTCTCTATCACGGTCTCGTCGTTCTTCCGAACGTTCTTCCTCAGAAGAGCTTCGCGCCTTCTGCTGCTTTCTCTTCTTTCTCAACTCGGGCGACTTTTCTACTGAGCTCGACCGATCGACACGACGCTGCTGCTGTTCACGAACACCATTCTTAGACAATGGCCGATTTCTTTTATGCGGAGAATGTTGATCTCCATTTCCACTACGACGTAGTTCCGTACGCTCTTCCCGCACCTGATCATTGGGTGAGTGATCCCGTTCTACACGTGATCGATCGTAACGCGCACGATCTTCACGTTCCTCACGGACACGTTCTCGTCTCAAACGTTCTTCATCATGTCGATTTTCATGATCATCTCGCATCTTCCTTTCTCTTCTCGCATCCGACCTGTCAAGATGTCGTTGTCTACGAGATTTAATTTTTTCAGGAGATGAATCATTTGATGACGGGGATCTACTGCGTTGGAGTCGTGGAACATTTTCTTTGTCCGTTGATGGACTGCGATGGTCATTTCTTTTTGTTTCATCCTTTCCCTGTTGCTTTCTCTGGTCACGCCTTAGTGGGCTTTCACTTTCTGAACGACTGTTGAGTAGAGGAAAAAAAAAGTTAAATGTTTTAAATATTTCTTAGAGCGGCATTGCTATACTCGGCCTGCGTGTAAGAATGTGGACAATGGAACAGAATCTCCATACAGCGAATCCGAGGCACAACAAGCCAGTTGTATGAACTGCTGCGCATAGGACAAAACCCAAGCCCATGTCCTCTTAGGTTGCAGAAACCAAACTTAAATTAACTCAGTCAAAATTATAAAAAAAATTGCATATTTAAGAACCACCACCTCAAGAGATCTAGTGTGCTTTTAATTT